AGCTGGTGTAGATGGATCTCGTGGAATAAGTGTAAGCATAATCATATTTAAAGTATATGCTACTCTTCGAGTTATTTTGTGAGATTTAATTTATTTGTTTGAAATCCGGGTAATCCTCTAAAACAGATTGGCTCTCGCCACTATTATCTGCTTGGCGGAAAAAATGATTGATCAGATTTCGGCGGAGTAATTTATTAGCAAAAATTCATGTTAAGTTCTTAATTGATTTCTGTGTCTTTATATTGCTTATTTTACGACTGGATCCGTATAATATTGTAACAATTAACCAATACTATCAACACACTACTCAGGCAATAGTATTGAGCCATTTCAAACTAGATGCTAAGTAGTGGTTATTGAACTTCGAGTCGACAGATTTTTTGTCTGATATCATGAGTATGATTTCTGCCCAATTTAAACCTATTTCAATTACTGTTATAAATTTGCTTCTGGGTTAGACCTTTTGATCATGTTGCTATGAAGATTATGATCAGTTTTTCTATTATTCGTCCTTCTAGGGCGGTGCTGGAGCTACTGGTCCTGTTGGAGCAGCGGGTAGGAGAGGAGAAGCGGTATGTATCGCTTTTATTAACAGTGAAATGACTTTTGATCAAATTAAAAAATTAATTTTTCGTAAGATTTGTGATATTTGTGTGTTTATTTTAAAAAGGGCGATGCTGGACCGACCGGCAGAGTTGGGAGACCTGGACCGATGGGACAACAGGTGAAGTGTCTGAAACAGTACAGGATAAAGTTTTCATTCCATTCCATACCTTTAGTCAGTTCCGATGAAACCGTGATCATAACATTTTGGACTTCAAAGGAACAAACAACCCTCAAAAATTAAATCGCTTCTTAAATTTAGTTTTTGCGTATCCCAGTTGGTTGTGCCGCCTTACTAGCTCATCCGGGTATGAATTCAGGTTTTATTGAATGTAGTCGAATAATTTTCTGTTAAGGTGTTTGTTTGAATTAGTCGCTTTGGACTGTAGTCTTGCATGGCATATATTTAAGGAGAAGAGTAATATCAGGTGCTGACCTGCCTCTCTCTAATGTAACAGGGCGCTGAGGGTGAACCTGGCGAAGCAGGAGAAACTGGAATTCGAGGACCTAATGTGAGTTCACAGACTGAGAAAATTACTCAGCAGCATAATCATAGAATACTTATCACTAATTCGTAATATCATAATGTGTTCATTTAACTTTTAACTTCAAATCTGTCGTTACTAGAGCACATCCATGCTCTGTACAGAGATCAAAACTCATAATTGGTATGGAAAAAATTCTGAAAAATGTGAAAGTTTCTAATGATCAGCACCATGATTTGAACGTTAAAGAAATGATCGAGGGTTATTTATTTATTTGTTAGCTTGAGCTTTACTCGTTTTTTACATTAATCTCCTTAGGAGACTTTCCAAGGGTTTCACTCTCATAATCGTCTTAAAAAGGCGCGTCAAAATTGAGCGACGAGATGAGCAAAGCAGAATGAGAGTAGTTATTAACTTAGGACGTACCAACGTGTGATTGACGGACCATCTTAATGCCGATCAAAACACATCTCCAAGGCAACCAGAATCCTGGGTATCTTCCTAAGCATATACGTACCTCATATTAGCTATTGTGAATGTGTTTCAGGGTGTCTCTGGCGATCGTGGTCTCGCTGGCACTCCGGGACAAAGTGGAGCAGATGTATGAAGTCTTCAATCGTAACAACTATTTTCATTTATTAATTAACAAACAAAGAAGGATTTCACGTCACTATTATGAATGATTTATTTAACATTGATGTACGCGAACTTCTATTTCAAATAGAAAGGACTCATCGGCAAATTACCGTGTGCAATTGGAAGCACAGATGTTTCATGTCATGCCAAAATTGGTAGAAGAGTGTATCGATATTTCCTTTTTTTATTAACACTTAAAATGTTATTTGTCCTCGCCAGTTCACATATCCTTCTTGTCTCTAGATACCCTTTTTTGATTACATGTGTTTATTATGATCCGAAGCGTTAACTATGAATCTCCTCTCCTTCAACTATTTCAGGGTCCACAAGGGGACCCGGGAGCCCCTGGTGCGTCTGGCTTTGAAGGGAAAATGGCAAGTGAAATGCTTAACTTTAAACGTTACAAATTTCTTCTACTTTCCTGATACAATTATTCTGTTAAAAGTCATGAAAAATGCATATAAATTCCTCAACTGATCAGTTTCCCCCCACCTCGTAGTGCCGACGAGGTAAACGATCTTAGTCATCAACAGCGTTCAAATTTGAGTTTAAATATCATGGGCGTGTATGTTTAAAAACTGGTTATACGTGGCATAACGTAATTTCTGCTGTAAAGAAACAAACAGCTTCGCATCTTTGATCGCCCTAGGTGAATCTTCATTGTTTAATATGTAAATTCATAAATGGTTAGATTTGGACGGTTATGAGGTATTATCGTTTGTCTCCCGATGTGTATCGCGACGTTTCTACTGCATACAGCTAGTCTTCGTGAAACGATAAGGGCCATTGATCACCATCCAATCTTTGAAGCATCGTACCCCACTTCAATTGGCTTATTGTATTCAGCTGTAATTTTCACATTTCGAATACGTTCTCCTTAGCGCACGCTGACCATGTCCTGTTGGTCTGTTACTTAATAGAGGGAATCCATGCCGCTGGAAATGTTTTCCACTGTTCCTGTAAAAGTTTCTGTTAGAGTTAAGAATCACTTGAGCCAAACCATTTTACTTTATTTATATCGTTTTCACCTCGATGAAAACTGCAACCCTTATTTACGCTATTGAGCTAAAGGTGTTAAAATGGCCGCAATGTATTCTTATTTCAGGGCATGATTGGTTCCATTGGAGATCAAGGGCCAACAGGTCTTAAAGGATTTAGGGTAAGTTAACGTCAAATACAATCTTCTTTGTACCTATATGCAACACATTACTGCATCACTGGAATTTCTGAGAGTTTTACTGTATTTCGGTGAAAATCTGGAGTTAATCATCATTTGCTTTTATGTCCTTTTTTTTTCCGAAGGGTCAAGAAGGAGCCGCCGGTTTACATGGGATCAGTGGAAATACAGGTTCTCAGGTACATACTGACTGCTCAATTATAAAAGAGCCTAGATAAAGTTTCCTTAAGCCCGCTGTTACCTTCCCCTTCCTTTCTTTCTGTCTTTAACTATTCCACTAAGGCAGACATGCTTCCTTTAACCACCTGAGGGGGATAGGGGGTGACATTGAAAAAAAAAAAAAAAGGACCAGGGGCCGAGACCGTTGGAGTTCATAATGAAGATTTTTGTACGACAGGAGAAACGTTCGTAAATAAATGGTACATTGGCTCTTGAATATTCGCTCACTACTATTGCTTTAAAGCGTTATATGAAAAGTTCCGACACATTTCCTTGCCAATTCACCAGTCCAAAAATGGCACGCTAAGATGATTTTAACCCTCTGCACTGACATACGAACGTCTGGACGGGCGGCCGGGTGGTGCAAATTATTCCTTATGGAATTTGTCAAGGAGCCTTGACCAGTTTATCTTGCTAATATGTACCGCGAACAATCTCGTGTGATAAGCTGCAAGTGTAACTGTGTCTCCACTCTATAATTAGGGAGCTCAAGGAGTCATTGGTCAAAAGGGATATCGTGGAGAGGAAGGCGACAGCGTAAGTCGGAATCTATTGCACTAATAAATTGAAGTTTATGTGCTTTTTACTTCATAGGTTTCACAGAAATGACAGTTTTTTCTAGATACTCACACTGTGGGCTAAGGGTAACCCGCAGTGTGAATTCATTAAACAAGACATCTCATTGAATATTACCTGGAGCTTACCTTTTCTGTAACCAAACGAACGATCATTTAAATTTAAACCATTGACTGCATTTAAGAATCTTAAGGTCTATACTTACTCTTATCATTACAGGGAGGACCAGGAGGACCCGGGGCAACGGGAATGATGGGAGAACCTGGACCAGCGGTAAATTTAATGACTTGACCTTTCTGTAACCGATATAACGCAGGGTTGCTTATTTTATTTTCACACATGTGCGTTTTCCGTAGGGAGGAGCTGGTGATCAAGGAAGTAGTGGAAAAACTGGTCGCAATGGAAACAAGGTGATGTCATGGCTTCGGGAATTTTTGATTTTTCTAAGTGATTAAGTGTACGGCAAGGGGCTGTGTAAAACCAAAGGACTGTATCTTTAAATTTCTATACTTTTCAGAGCCACTTTGACTTTTTCATTTGAATCGCGTATTTTTAGGGTGCTGTTGGTGATCCTGGTCCCCCAGGGGACAACGGAGGCAGGGGCTCACCGGTGAGAGCTTCGCCATTTTTCCGCATTGATGTGTCCTGCATAAGTGACCTCTTGACTATAATACGGAAGCATTAAATGAATACATCGGCTACAAAAGGGGATTGGGGTGATCTGCAATCTATGATGAGAAACCTAACGTTATCATTGGTGTTAACTTTAAGCTAGCCTATTGACCCTGAATGCTTTTCCTTTTTCGGTGTTACTTGTAATGTCAGCAATTTCGATGTGAAAGAGTTCAACGTTAATCCTAAGTTCCTGAGAAAATTATCCCCAAACGTCTCGTAAGGAAACTGTTTTAACGCGTTACTGTTGCCAACAATTTCTTGCATTCCTGTTTGAGCTCTGGCCCATATGAAATTTGTTGTCATCTTGCATTCAAGGAGACTAATGAAATGTTTTTTTTTTCCAATTTGTTGTACAGGGAGCCCAGGGCCAGCCTGGACCTCCTGGTCCACCCGGAACTGCTGGGTCAATTGTAAGTGGAAGATAATTTGAAAGGTTCCCTCAATTTTTTTCCTGCAAAAGAAGATAATTGTGGTTGAATTATTATTCTGGTTAATGTAATTCTTCATTTTTCTTTTTCCCTTTTTTTTAAAAAATAGCCTCCTACGACAATGCCCTTGCAAAATTGCAAGATCAGTCAGATGGCTAGGTGGAAGATTGTATACATGAACGAAAAAAGTTTTTTTTTCTTTTGCAACGATTGTGGGACATTAAAAAATTAGGAGAAAGGAGATTCTCTTTCAATTGGATCTAAAACGTCCTTGCCAACGCTGGTATGGAGCACCAATGAACCATTGGTGACAAAGACGTTGACGTCACCGCCATTTACTCTTGTGATTTGATTGGCTTATTCACCATGGTGTATGAGCCGTTATTTGTCTTACTTTTTTCGCAGGGTGATTTTGGCTTAGATGGAGCTGCGGGCTACTCAGGGCCAGTTGGAATGAGGGTAAGTGACTTTCCTCTGACACGAAAAATATCCGTTCAGAAGCCCTTTTCTCGAAAGTCCCGGTAACTTAACGGGCCTGAAACCATATTTTAAAATCAAATTTGAATAAGTAGTAGTTTCTGGCATCCTAACCAGTCCATTTTGTTTCTTTAATTGTTTGTTATTTTGTGGGGTATTCAAAACCTTTGAAACCCCCATCTGGAATGAAAATTAGAACAGCTTTATGGGGCCGTAAAGTCACCAGGACTTTCGAGAAACGGACTCTAGGGCCAGAGAGACTCAACATTTTTTTTTTTTCAGGGCAATGTTGGACCGATTGGTAAGGCAGGAATCCAAGGTGCAGCGGGAGCAAAGGTACAGATGATTTAACCCTTCAAACTCTAGAGATCTCATAAATGATTCTCCCTTCCGACTGCTGTGAATTTTCTTGGAAATTAATCAGTAGAGAATATTTGATGTTATCTGATAAGCTGATAGGTTTTTTTTTTTTCTAATGAGCTATTCGCTGGATACTGTGTTAAAATTGTCAGGGAAAGTAACAATCGAATCACTTCTGAGAGTGAGACGGTTAATGTTACCAGCATCCAGCTATAGATCAAATTATGTGTGATTTATACGGCATTGTTCATGATACAAAAATTGTAAAAATACCGATTCTGGAACGGGATTTTAAAGACAGACTTCTTGGCTATTTGCAATATTTGTCGATGAACAAGGGAATACGAATCAAACCCTTTCAGAACGTTTACTGAGTCATGAGTCATCCCAAATCTCAGGTTTCCTTTCCTCGGATTACGCGTCCATGACATTGCAGCTGAGCCACCCTGCCTGGGGTTGAGTGGTCGATTATTGCGTGGTTAAGGGATCTGTGATCAGCTTCACTTGAGAATGGAGTGTGTGCTTTCTTAATTGATGAATTAGACTTTAACTAAAATCATTAGTTATCGTCGTTCTCAGAAAAAAAAGAAGATTCTATTTCATTGCAACCTATTTCAAAAGTTGAACATGATTTCATTTCGGTTAGCCGAAACAATATCACGTAAATACATATTGTTTACATAATATTTTCAATGTTTCACAATTTTTTTGCTAGGGAGAAATAGGAGAACAAGGAAAGGAAGGAATAGACGGAAAAGCTGGCATAGATGTAAGTTTATCTTCTTGTCATTGCTCTGAAATGATGAAGATTTATATACTGTGGTAACTTCACGAGAAAAAGAAAACCATTCTCTTTGAATTCATCCTGGTTAATTTTTTTTTTTTACAGGGTGAGGTAGGAGCAGCTGGCTCTCCAGGGAAGTCTGGCGAACGCGGTTCCACTGTAAGTATTTTCTTGCTCGCTTTGTCCTCTTTTTGTTTGTTTTGGTTACATTGCACTAAGTGTTTTTGAAAAAGGGCAACTCGTTGAAAAAAGGGTCTGCCATCAGATCGCCCCAATTGAGTAGCAGTATTATCTCAGTAATCCTTTCCTTTTCTTGTTTTGAGAGCGTTTGTAGGCAACCAAAGGATATAGCTAAAGGCTCAGTTTCATTTGCTGTTCTGCTTTCTCTTAAACTGATATCCATTTGAACTCTCTTTTCGTCACAGGGAAGTCCTGGTGAATCTGGTAAAGCAGGAAAACCTGGAAGAGTTGGATCTAAGGTGGGGCTCGTCAAGAAAAATAAGCTTCCTAAACTTTCATTATTTTTACAGCTATTTATTTAGTCTCTACGCTGGCATTCTCTCCTTCGAGCTGTGTTTATCTTTTTCATCATTAATCATAAACATTACAAATTCCTCAATTCTTATTGGTGCCTTTGCAGCTTCATTTTGCACTAATCATTCTGTACAGTTGAAATCGGACAATGTAATCAGACAGTTGGCTGTAATCAGACAGTTGAAGCAGTCAATCATACTAAGTCCACTCAGCTAAATCCACAAATCGCAGAATTGATCACAATAACCACAGCAACAACCACTTATCCAAAGAAAAACTGGGCAATTTCCAAAATGGAGACATTTGTTCTAGGTGTATTTGTTTTTTCGGAAATTGAAATGGTTATGATTAATTGGTAACAGGATTTCTTGCAGTCCAATTCTGTCTGTAATCATACTCGTGATAAACAAATCGGACTCCCGCTTCGCGGTCGTCCGATTTTATTAATCACTCGTGTTATTACAGACCGAATTGGACTCTACTCAGTCCTATTACCACTATATATATATATTTATATATGTATTCATTTCTTTTTTTATTGATACATGTGAACATTCATTCTTTCATTTGTCTGTTTATTTATCATTCTTATTACCAACCTAAGAAATTCTTCATTGTTAAACAAGTTCTTCTTGTCAGCACCTAAGGAAATGTATAGAGAACAGTATGGAGAATATACTTCCTGATTTTCCGTTGTAAAAGATTAAAGCACTTGCTATTTATGGACCTACTTTGCGACGAAAATCACACACCTCCCTCCCCTTCACAATTTTTTCTGTGAAGGTGTCATAGCTGTCTATTAGTTAACGTTGTATTAATGTTAGGAGCAGGGGTGAGGATCGGGATGCATTTTTCCCAAGTTTCCTGGATACTCTTGGTGATATTGTTTCAGCGAGCGGATGACTTTTTGTTTGACAGCCGAATAACCCTTGCCTATCGCTTTTCAGGGCCTTGACGGCGACTTGGGAGCAGCTGGATCACAGGGAGATGTTGGTCCAACTGGACCGGAGGGTCCAAAAGGCGAAGAAGGAGCCACTGGAACCGAAGGCACTGTGGTATGTTCAATATTCATATAGACAACGCTTTCCTGTTTTAATTACTAAGTGTTTGAGGCTGCTTTGAACTTTGTGCGGCTTTTGTTGTAAAGAAAAAAAATTCAATTGGAACCTCTCTTTGGAAAAGGTTTTTTTTTTAGCCATTTATTCAGCCCCATTTAAGGGCCACCAAATTTAATCCTAATTGTGACCGTTGCTGCAGAGACGCTGTTATTCAGGGGACACTTTTTACAGTCTCGTAAGCATCCCTTGGGTTGAGGTTACGTTTAATCTGTTACCCTCACTGAAGAGGCACTTCTAGTCAAGTTACACTTTTTCTGGTTCCGATATGTTTATAATATAGTCATTGTAAGTTTCCCAGAGGTCCACAGAGAGTCGCGTGGGGTAGTCGCACGAGACATTGCCTGGTGTTAAACCCCTTGTTTGATAACACAGTCCTAATGAGAAGTAGAACCCCGTTCCGTTTTGTGAGGCATTTGAACCTCAAAAGATAGCTCACCACAACCAGGATTAATCTAGCATCCTCTTTCGCGGTAACTTGCAAGTTAATTCTTTTACTGAAAGAGAGGGTTAAGATCATGATTACATTGTGTCATCAAAGTGCGCCGTTGTAAAAGAGGTTTGATATGTGAGGGGTTCATTAATTCATAAATTCATTCAGGGTTAGGGTTAGTCCTTGTTTTCTCATACAAACCACTCATTCGCGTGTCTTGTTTTAGGGTGTTCCAGGTCAGCGTGGCTCGCGAGGATCTGACGGCAACCCTGGTGCCACGGTGAGTCGATTAACCTATACAAGGCAGTTTCATCCGGTTTTTCCGGTTTCAGCCTCTTATATCGTTAAATTAACTTACTCGTGACGTATTTAGCCTACCGATGTATTTCTGGTTGCTTGTTCACACCAATTTGGTTGACATGACATCATATACCTAAGCTTTAAATTCAATAAGACCAACGTAATATTTTAAGAAACCAATTTTTTATAATACCTTTTTCCCCATTTTTATTAATAATTCCAGTTTTCTTTTGTCTGAGTCCAGGGCGATCCTGGAGAATCAGGTGATGATGGAAACGTCGGTTCAAGAGGACAAAAGGTATTCATTAGAATCCTTGATGACTCATTCTTTTTTAATGGATCATTTAATTTATTTGGTTATGTATTTATCTGTTTCATTTCGCCTAGCACACAATGCAAAATAATGTTAACTACAAAGATTTATGTCGAGAATATCTGAGAAAAATCAAAGTGAGGTTCCCTCACAAGAAAATCAAACAAAACGATTTTGACAAGATATTGTTATTTGTAACATCTGTGTTCTATTCGTTGACATTAGATTTTTATTTTTTGAAGGATGTAAAGTGTAAAGAGCCAAAACTCCTAGGCGAAAAGAGAGCAGGTGTATTAAAGTTTTCTCTATACGTATTTTAATTTCTAGGGAGACGCGGGTGATACGGGTGACACTGGCCCAGACGGGAGCCTGGGACCAAAGGTAGGTCGTGGCTTAAAATCTTTTCATTTAACGTTACTCAGTGAGGAAATGTTCGGTGCAGGAATGGGATGATAAATTTTCATTGTTGGTAGGTACACTTCAACACCAAAGAAATATGTTTATTGTGTCGTCTGCGCATAAGACGTCGAGTTGAACAAGAAGCTTAATCTGTTGATGCAGTAGGATACGCATACTGATCTACAACAATTCTTCACATCATTTGAAACAATTAACCACAGTGATATATGATTGTCCAGTTTTGTAACTTTGCCCCTGGACCCAACGATCATTTGACATTTCGCTAATGCTCATATGGATATTTCAACCTTAGGGTCAAAAAGGCTCCATTGGTCCACGAGGAGATAGTGGGTTAGAAGGAGCTGTGGTAGGCTGTCAGCTGTTATTATTGATTTGCCTATTTGTTAATGTATTTTCCAGCAAAAAGATATTTTACGCTGACTTAATTAAGCGTTACGGAATTCAATATATCCACTGCGTTTCAGGTGCAGTGCTCATTGAAGAATCGTAAAATCGTTTTATAGAAATCATTACGAAAAACGTTTTTTCATATTTAAACTTAATACAAACATTTGTTACAATGGAATGGTCTGCAAGCAGGCGAACAGATAAGCGCCACGTTCCTAGCTGCGGCGTTCATCGAATAAACATGGAAGCTCACGAATTAAGTTTAATTTACTAAGGGATTTTTTTTGTCTTCTGCCCAGGGTGCTGATGGGCCACGTGGTCGGGTCGGTGAAAGAGGGGACGAAGGTTTTGAGGTAAGTCAAATACATAGGTATTTTATTTTGATGATATTCAGGATGTCAAGTCCTTATAACATTATTAAACTTTATTTCGTGACAGGGACCAACAGGAATGTCTGGATCCGTAGGATTGAAGGTAGTTTTAATCATTATTTTTTCATTAGCTGCTTACTTTTGCTTACGTTAACTTCTTCAACGTGATACGGGAATCTCAACTCTGGAACGGCTTTAATTCAGGCGCTGATTTTTCCATGAGTCGGACTTAGAGCAGTTTTCACTTGAGTTTCGAAAATATCAAAGCCAAGGTAATCGCAACGGCCAATCAGAAGAAGGAAAATTCGTTTAACTGAGTTAATGAGAACTCAAAGTCAACCAAACAAACTGCCTAAAGCGCGGACAAAGGTAAGGGAACAAGTCATGGTTGGTTTCAATTTTGCATGTGATTGGTTTACAGAATGGCGTTTTCTGGACCAATCACAGAGCGAAGGAAAGCACAACCTAAGCAATTACAGACTACTTTCGACACTCAGTTAAAAATTTGGTCCGTAATGCGTAAATGATCACAACCTATTTATTACTGAGTATTTTTATGAACCTTTGTTGGGAATGGCTCTAACGATTAATTTTGGCGTCCCATGTTAGCTGTTTCTTCTCCTATTTATTTTCATTAATAACGTTACTTTCTTTTATTTTTACTTTCTCAGGGAGATCGTGGTCGCCAGGTAGAGTAACAATGTTATCGTTTATTAAGTTTGAAAATCTTTCAAAAAAACTAATATTTTAGAAATAAACATAGCTTTCCATTAGCACAAAGTGATTGTAAACTGACGTTTCTCTCATATCCTGCTTTTTTTTTCTCCTTTCTTATTTTTTTGTGGTTTCTCAGGGCGAAGACGGTCAAGAGGTAAGTTTTTCTCTTCACATTTTTTTCAAAAATGAAAAATTTGTGCTTTAACATAAAGAAAAAAAGAAAATCTTTTTGACTAACAGGGAAAGAAATCAGTACAGTAAAGGTGCTTCTTATCAAGTTAAGGCTCAAAGAGCGGTCTGATACGGTTTTGTTTCTAGGTTCTTGATATGAGAGTTTCTTGCATTTAATTGTGTTGTCAATGCTTGTGTGATATAACATTATTGAATTAAGTTTGTATACAATTCTGATTGTATTCAATACAATTATCTCAGGGTCCCGCAGGTGGAAGAGGACCTCCTGGTTCACCAGTAAGTGAAATACCCAGTGAACAAAAATTACATACAAGCTAAACTACAGGGTCGCTTTTCATCGTAAATATTTTCTTGCATTTTACATCATCCATGCAAGCCCCTCATGTTTGACCGTTTGTTTCCTTTTCTTTGGGTTTTTTCCCGAGAATTCGCATTTCGTTCCAAATTTTGAGCCAGTCAAGCTCGATCTAAAGGCGTAGGAAGGATTGTTTCCAGACTTTTAATAGAAATCTCTCGTTGTTTGAAAAAAAAGTAATAATTATAATAATGACGGGAATGCGCAGGTGATGGATTTCTTACAGCTCCAACCACCCTCCCCTCCCTCCTTCTTCTCTGTGAACCTGTTTGGCTGCGAAAGAGAACCCTAGTATTAATCATTATTTTTCCTTCATTAGGCCGTTCTTCCAGCTGAGTTTGCGGGACAGTTTTCAGTAAGTCATTCACATTCTGTTCGTATGTTGTTCTTGCGCTTTCCAAACTTCTGAAAGCTGAAGAACATCAGTGAGACACACTACGCCTCGTGTGCTACTTTTATGCTCTGACCACATTTTGACGTCTCCTGTGATCTGTTTCTGAACAGACACACGGCAACATGGAATCGATTTGTTAATTCCTTAAGTACAATGTAATATTCCTTGTTACTAAAAACTGGAGCATTGGATAATGCAATTCAAGAGTTTTCATTGGCTTAGCCATCATGGGTTGTTAGCCATTATACCATCTGCGCGCATGAAGGCGAGTTAAACCAGTAGTGATTTTTTACATTGTAACACTGGCGTTCCGTTTGCTCTTACAAAATAAAGTTGGGAAGATTTATTTATACTTTGGGGCGTTTGTAATAAACAAATATTCCGTTCGCACTTGTTGGATATGAGATGACTAAAGCCAATTCGGTCCCACGGGCCCCGTTGGCTATCTATCATCTTATATCCAACGCGCGCTCGTAGATTAACTGTTTAGTAGTCATGTTAAGAACCGTTAAACTTCATCTACGCTTTGTGTCGGTCTAGTTCCCAGGTTACCAACAAGATTACAGCGATCCTGCCTCTCTCCAAACAGAAAAATCTGGTTCTAGGAGGTTGTACCGAAGCGGCGAACAGGTATTAGCGTGGTGTAGTGAAGATGTACTAAATGTGGGAAATGGTAGCCTAAGTTTCTGTACAATGAATATCACCTTTACCGAAATGGCGATCAAAGTAATAATCGAGAGGGGTTATGGATAGAAAGGTGTTATAAGACGGGAGGAGAAGAAAGCTCATCAAAATATCCTTTCTAGGCACAATGTTGGTCATTTTCTCATTTTCTTTCCCTCAGGTTTTAAAACTAACTACAAATATCGAAATCCACCATTTAAAACTAGTAGTTTGCCTTTTCTTTTTCTTTTAATGTTAATTAAATGCCATAAGTGTATCCGATGTCACTTGTGTGTGAATGTTTTAACTAATTGAGTTGACCAGTTGACCTTTTGTGTTTCCATTAACAGGACACTGAGACCGAAACCAAGCCTCAGGTAAGAGGACTTTTTTCCAAGTTACAAACCGCTTTCCCCTTGGAAGTCCCATAGAAGTATTTATAACATGGCATAAACGTTGCTTGAGTATTGAAGCTAGTAAATTAATACTAAAAGTTTAATCATTAGATTCGACTTCCCTTATGCGGCAACAATATATCATTGCCGTGGAATGCAGTGGATTTTTATTGTTCCTGTTGTCATTGTGGCTATTTTTGTTGTTTTTCTTACCTTCTTAGTTACGTTGAAAGTCGTACCTTTAACTTCTTAGATCGATGAATTATAGATGTAATTGACCAACTGATCTTTTCCGCTGTATTCATGATAAAGAAATTGTCGATACAAAGTTTACATTTTACTGTAGTCAACTGAGAAATTCCTAGTACCACCTGAAACTGATTTAGCGTATGTTGGCGGGCATTTACTTTAAAGATAATATAGCCTTTGGCAGCAGGCTCCAACCCATTCTTCTCAGAAACTAAAACGCAACCTGAAATTTCCGCAGTTCCAGCTTGCTTTCCTTTGGAATTGGATTTCCATTCTGATCTGCTCTTTTCTGTGACACAGTAATAATAGGGCTTACTAGCTCAGTGCACTAGATAGCGCCTACAGGTAATTACGCTAGATTTTGCGTCGACATACAGTATTCTAAAATGACAACACCTACTTTCCATAGTCGCTTTCCGAAGACCTGTACTTGTATTTTTTTCTTTACCTTATAGATTGACCTTTACGACGTGATCAGTTATCGTATAGACATGTATAAGAATCCCAACGGCTCCCAAGCATTCCCCGCAAGGACCTGTCGAGACTTGCACATGAGCTATCCTGAACTTAAAAGCGGTTTGTGCATAAAGTGATCTTTGTTTATTTATTTATTTATTTTTTTTATACACATCATCTTTGTTTTTGACTTTTATTAATAGAAAGGTTTGGTTTTTCAACCTGCGAGAGCTATAACAAAGTTCGAGAGATTTCCTTTAAGGCCTCACATCATTTGCCTCACAATCACGAAATTGGTCTAAAATGTGTTGGCAACCGACCTGTCATCCAAAGTATAAAATGATTATTTCTCGAAAGTCCAGTGTTTCAGCTAACCAATCTCTCGTTTATTTATTTACTCACGCAGACTATCCTCTCTACTGTGGCCATTTACATTGTCAACTCAGTCAATAAACTAAGTTATCTTGATTTAGTATTGTTTGATCGATAGATAGATAGATAGATTGATTGATTGATTGATTTATTGGTTATTTGATTGATCGATTAATCAATTACCTTAGGACTCTATTGGATTGATCCTAATGGTGGGATAGCAAACGATGCCATCGAAGTTTATTGTGAATTCCAAACCAACGGGTCCTGCCTGTATCCGGGACAAGAAAACCAGGTTGGTGATCTTGTTCCATTGTCTGTGTTTTCGTTGGTGTAGACTTTGTCTCTAAAACGCTGTGTTGGACTGGTGTGACTGTAGCTATGCTCTCAATATAGGACTCTTTTGTTTCAAAACTGGGAGGGTCAATCAATTTGTATGGTTTCTTGCTCTACAGCCGTTTGTAACTGACAAGAAGAAATGGTTCAGCGGTAGCGATGGATACAAATGGCTAGGCAAAGAACTGCTCGGACTTGACAAGGTAAGTACTCAGTCTTCGGAAACTTGAGAGTGCTACGTTTGAACATATTCCTTTCAGGGTAATTATTCGTTTTGTAGCAGAAGTGCAAGTCTCAGAACATTTGTGTTTTTGCAGCTTTTTTCACGTATAGTTAAAAAAACTTAACAATATTAATATTCTGACCCCAAATCCCTAACAATGAATCATTTGTATCAAAAACGAGAAAATCAAATTGCAAAACTTTGTTCGTTTTCTTTGGAAACACAACCTACAGCAATTTGTATGCTTCTCTACGGGCTCGTCAAAATACGGCACAACTCGTAAAAAGACTCAGCGATACTACATACCAAAACGGATGAACAAAGAGAGTAAGTTTTTAAAGAAACTGTGGTGCTGCGTCGGTGGGAGAGCATAACAGAGTAATTTTGTGTTATCGACTGAGTTGAAAACGCAAATTGGCCACCATAAAGAGTTTAAGGCTGATGTTTCGAGCGTTAGCCCTTCGTCAATCGCTCCGACGAAGGGCAAACGCTCGAAACGTCAGCCTTAAACTCTTTATGGTGGCCAATTTACGTTTTCAACTCAGTTGATAACGCTAAATTACCGTGTTACACATCAAAACGTCTAATAAGATATATTTCTTTAATGGAATTCTTTCCATTTAGAAAATATTATATTTGCCACTAGACGTTCTGTTTGTTGACTTATCCTCAAAGGATGTCGTGTTAACAATGGCGTTAAAAGCTATGATTTCCTTATTTGATTGCGGATGCAACGCTTAATTGGCTTATCAGGACAAATAATCTTCAGAGATAAGACAAACAGGAGTTTATTTTGGAAGTTGAAATTTGATTAAACTACTTTCTGCGCATATACTAAGAGCTTCTAATAACAATCAGAAGTTGTACACATTTTGAAGTCGTAATAGATGAGAATTGGAAAAAACAACGTTTATTTCACCTCTGTTGTCCGATTACTTGTTTTTCTACATTTCACACATTTTTTATTTGCGCCATTCACAATCCTGACCACAGATGACTTGTGAAGTATGATCGTCACAGGCAGACTAAAATTAGAGAGATTATATCGAAGGTAAACAATGCAAAACGACCAGAGGTCTTGACTTGGCCTAAACCCATGGCTTCAACTTCTTTGATTGATTTAAACTTATGAAGTTTAGTTATTCACCGTCTATTTTTGTTTTGTATTCTGCACAGCTTGAATACGTGTCGGAGCAAAGTCAGCTGGAGTTCCTCCAGCTGTTAAGTGATCGTGCCCGCCAGCGGATTACGTATCACTGCAAGAACTCAGTAGCATGGCCTGAGAAGAGTTCGAATGAAGGGATAAAGTCCATCAAGATGCTAACTGTTAATGGGCTTGAACTGCACGCGAGATCCTCAAACAAATTTAAACCGACACTAGTGGGGGATGACTGTGCGGTAAGTGAAACCGAAAAAAAAAAAAGGAATGAGACTACCTAGGTTCGAGTTCAACGTTACCTTCATCAAGAGACAAATATGATGTCAGCTATTGGCCGTGGGTTGGGATGAAAACCCGAACTTTCTCATTTGAAGACGAGATCGAGGTTCAGTCACGTTCTAAAACGTCAAAGTTAGGCATCAACGTCTAAATTGTTAAAGCACGTTAGAGCAGAGTGAAAGGATATTTTGCCTCTCCCTCTGCCTATCTATCTTCCGCACCTTCTCCCTCTCCCCTTTCTTCTCCGTCTCCTACTCCTTCTGCCTCTTCTTCTCCCTCTCCTTCTCCTTCTTTTCCTTCTTTTACTTTTCCCTCTTTCACTTTTCCTTTTCCATTTCAATTTCCCATTTCTCCTTCGCCTTTTGCTTGTCCCTCTCCTTCTTCTTCTCCTTCACCTTATCCTCTTTTTCCTCTCCCCTCCATATCCTCATGCTTATTTTTGTCTTGTGTAGTTGAAAGACGGATCTTGGCATCGTACCACATTGGAAGTGGACACACCCAAACCTCACCGTCTCCCCGTTCTTGATGTAGCTGTATATGATATTGGAGATAGTGGAGAGGAATTTGGTCTAGAATTCGGACGCGTTTGCTTCTCTTGATGGACAAAAATGCATGTCAAACTGTACATTGTTGTTATAGAGGTGCAGTGATTAAAACTTGAGACTGTAAGTTATTGAGTTCAAGCGAGAGAAGCAGTCCTTAGCGGCTGCTGCATGTTAAAAAACGTAGTTTTTGGGACCTTCCAAGCGCAGTTGTTTAAATAAAAGTTGTTTCATCCTTATAATAAGTAAGTTTCGTATGGAATCACGATGAATAAGATTTGGAAGATTAAGTGGCCAAATGAAGGATGATCACTATAGAAAATGAAACTTCACATTAATTTACTTCATCAAAAGCTAAACAGGCTTTGAAACAGTTCGCCCTTGTTCAGTAATCAGTCATAAATAAATGAATAAATTCGATTTTAAAATTGCTACGTCCACGAACTGGCTCTTCGTCCACTGTTTCCAGGTCAGAAGAGGAAATTTGACGGTCGGTTTTTGCAAGAAAACCACAGAACACGAGAAACCGGAATAGTCAGCTAACGGGCTCTTAAATGAGCGCTGCGGGACGCACGTTTTCCGCCTGCAGGAAGGTTGGAGACGCGTTATAAGTGCTGGAGGCGTTGCTCAAGGCCTCATACTATCCCGCGGACAAGGAAATGGTCATGCTGAGGCATTAATAAAGAGGCCTGCTCGTAAGCTAAAATCGGAAAAGTCGATGAACGTTTATCGGTACAACTAGATCCGCACATTGAACGTGGACAACGCGCTAGTTTCACTAAAATCCTAAAAAACTATACTGCAGTTTACGATAAAAATATAATTTAAGCGAGTTTTCCTTTTAGGAAGTGTCAGGAGCCGCTAAGGCGTGAAACGAACGAGGGTTCTTCTATTCGATTTATCGGGAATTGAATAACGCAGCATGAGCAAAATGGCTGAACATTCTTATTCACAGGGCATCAATCAACAGAAAGGTGTCAGGCTTTTCTAGATATCGGCATCTAAAGTCGGAGTACCTAAAAATATGTGAGGCGTTTTGCGTAAATGGATGCCATGGGACGGAAAGCGGTGTATTCGCCCCAAAGTGCGAGATTTTAGCTCATAAAGGTTCGCAAACAACTCGCGCCACGCCAGGAGATTATCTCGCCTCCTGAAACCGCAAACCAATGGGACGACGGGACCCCATGACGTCAATGTCGATGGATCAAGATTTCCCTGGAAAAGTAACCCATTACAGACACGTTTTTTTCTTTATCTCGATCGCTCAGTGGAGCGTTGAGGAGGATAACAAAATAGTGGGCAAAATTTCCAAAGGCAAAAGAGAGAATGGTATAAAATTGTAACGCAATACTCTGAATGTTACTAGGGGGTAAGTTTCTAAAGAACCTGAAGTGCTGCGTCACTGGGAGAGTATAACGGGGTAATTCGGTGTTATCAACTGAGTTGACACATAAATTGGCCGTCGTAAAGAGTTGAAAGTTAAGCTAGCTTTCAAACTCTTAACTCTTACGATATCAACTTAGTTGATATTACTAGATTACGCTGTTGATGAACGTTACACCTAATCAAAGCCTTTTGAATTGTATTATGAATATTAGGTGCGAACTACTTCAGTCGGCCGCAACTAGAATACATTCTTGGACAGCGACCTCCTGTATGAACCTTTATTTTCTACATCGAGTCTTACTGATAGGGATATTTTTGCTGGTCCGTAGTATTTCATCGATTTGAATAGAAAGGACCTGTGTTTCCATCACGATGAATGTCTTCGTTTACGGGCTAGTCTATTACTAAATTGAAAGATTAACTGTCATCATTGTTAATCGACCTGACAAAATCAACAGAACTGGATACTTAAACATTACAGTGTGGTTATCAATCCGAAGAAGCTCTCAGCCAATGATGTTTCAAAATATCTCCACTGTTTACATTATTGAATCTGCGTTACAACGTTTACATTTTTTTTTTCAATCATCATTCCTCTGTTATATGTAAACGGGCCTTTTGTGGAACAAAAGATGGGAAAAAAGACCTACTTTTAAACACTCAGAAAGACTGAAAATATATTCAACCAGCCACGACTAGGCGCAGTTTCCCTCCGAAAATAGCTTTATCAAAGACCTTTGATACTTGGCCACTATTTCAAGTCCCCCATTTTAGAGACCCTGGCGAGAAATGTGTTCACGAAATTTTTATCCTTGAGCAGAGCTTTCTTTCTCAAGGAAATCCCAAATGTCGATGACAATTTAAACATAAACGAAGCAAAAGGATATACAAGCGTGCACGTGAGACGAAAAAAAAGGGTGCAATCTTGCCTGTGATATTATATTACGTCTAGGTTTCGAATTGCAAATCTTTCCCATCCATGTCACAAAGAATGGCTCAGGAATAAAAGACTATTATCACTGACTACCAGCCAAGTCTTTATGCAATAATCGATCGAGGGAGCTGAGAGATTGGAGGCTAATGTCAAAGGAATAGCTTGCTGTAGTCTGCTAGACTGAGATTTTTTTGTTGGTCGGCATGGGTAGCCGTAGCTTGCTAGCTCTGTTCAGCTTGCTGATCGCGTGGTCTTTGGAGTCTGAAGCACGTAAGTAATTTTTATTTGTAATATTACATAAATGACTTCCCCGCCGTGTTTTTACGACTCGTATGGCCTTCGCCTACATTACGCTGCTGTTATTGTGAAGCAACATGCGTGACCGTGTTGATTCCTAAGTTTCTTTTCATTTGGAAACGACTGGACTAGTTTTTACGTTACTTCATCATCAAGTCTGCCATACACAGTCTCATGAATGCCTTAAATTTTTATGATGTGAAATTAATCTTCCAAGTTGATCACGTTTACGCATTTTAAAAACGCATTTTCCAACCAAGCAACTCTCGCCTTCAAGCCTTAAACTTCATAAATTCCCTGCTCCCCCGGTTATATTATGATACTTCAAGAAAGCCACTGCGTGAGGACAGAGGCGCTTTGTTTTTACACATTCATGCAAGCGTTACTATTACGCCATGTCAACACGTTATTCCTATCATTAAGTATCCTCCAACCTTTGTCTCGCAGAATCTTCCGTTCGTTTCTTTATGGAATTACACTTCATTCGTTTAAGTAACAATTTCAGGCTTGAAAATTCTTTTTAAAAATCATCTTTACCTTAAAAGTGTACTTGAATTTTGAACGGAACTCCGCAGGGTATGTAGCAAAGGGTACAGCTAAGAAGCGACAAATGCTTTTTAAGAATTAACACCGAGTTGCTGCTAGAGAGGATCCTCTCTTGATTATTGTCAGAGAAATCAAGGATTATCAACACCCATAACACCCAAAATCGGAGGATTGTACTACTAAACCCCGCCGATCTTTCTCAAAAGTAAAACTGATTACACGATGCTTGGGACTCTCCGAACAATTTTTTAAAAAGGCTCACTTTGGAAAGACATATTTATCATAGCAGTGATGTGACAGTCGATTAAGCTAACCACAAACGTCCCTTTTGTATCAGATAATGATCCCACTGTTTATTCAGACAGTTAAGCATTGTTATCGTCTAACGTGACGTTCACCTGTTTAATTTTAACGCAGCTTTAACGAGTGCTTCTTTTCTTCTTGATGTCTTTTAAACGAGTCCCACATTTGTGTCGCTTTGGCGTGCAGCTGCTCGTTGAAAAAGCGTCATTTTCTGTCTCATTTAATATGGTAAGAGAGAGAATAGTTAACCGAAAATATTTCTGTGTCAGAATTTCAAGAGCTAAGTCACGGTTGCACTATTTTTTCGAAATGTCTGAAGCTCGTCACCTGTAGTCCGCTCTAATTTTATCCATCCCTAGCCACACTTGTTCCATCTTCGTTTATTATGATTCATACTTGCCAAAAGAGGTAGAGGATGTGATATTTTTGCCGAGGATTCATTTAGTCTATATAGAGTTTAAGGTGGTTATAATACTTATGCAAAACGATATATTGGATAACGTTACGTAGTGAAGGAGCTGTAGATAAATGAGACCGTTACTCCCTCTCCTTACGCACAAGCCATGCATTTCAATGCCTGCATATCAATTGATTTCTCGGTTTCTACTTCTTTGACAGAATTCCAGGAGAATTAATAAAAATTGTAATCGTAAATTATAAAATTTGTGATTTTTCAGTCAGGCCATTTTGTGTTACCATGTTAAAGGTGCTTCTATTTCAGTCGGAGTATGTGTAAAAGTATTTGAATAATGCCGTTTAAAAAGCACACGAGATAAGGAGAAACTCAAAGGCTTTTAAGAACTTCTGTTATAAATATTTCAAATATTAATGACCAAACGCTGACGTATGCTTTCGTGTGATATTATGATGGTGTAAAATTGATTTATGATAACTAGACAAGGCTCCTAACGGGACGAATAACGTTTTCTTTCGTTTTACTAGCGGATATGAGAAGCATAGGAATGAGTGATATAGGGATTCGATATGCAAATCTTGTGGTGTTAGCACCGCCTGAGAAGTCTGAAGAGGGCATGGATCTTATCAGATATGGTGGACCAATTGTTAACCAAAATTTAAACTAATTACCTAACCTCTTAGGAAATTACTCATTTTAGGAGAGTAGGTATTGAATACCAAGTTTACTTTTCCAACCTAGGACTTCTTAAATTACGTTCAGGACAATACGTCCACAAGTTCACCATTTTGTCACTTCGATTTAGTACTGGACAGTAATTTTAATTTCCATCCGTTACTATTTGGTAGAACTCTTAGGTTGCCCCCCCATCGATCTTGGAATATTGTTGGATAGTTCAGGAAGTCTTAATCTGCCTGGGTACGACAACGAAGGAAGCATAGAGACGTTCGTGAAGGAACTTGTTGGTAATTTCGATATTAACCCTGGTATCAATGGAACTCACGTTGGGATAGTTCAATTTGACAGCTCAGCAAAGTTGCGGTATAAATTTACTCAACCTCAAACTCCTGCTGCTGTGGAAGCTGCAATAGAGTCATACAAAATTGGAGATGGAAGTACAATGCTTAATAGAGGCATTGATATGTGTGATGATGAACTTTTTCAAACATCAGAGGGAATGAGAGGACCCGAATATAAAAAGGTAAGGAAAGCCGGTCCATTCCAAGTTTACTTTTGATTTACTTCATCTGTGACGGGCCCTATAAAGGTGCTTGGTCATAATTCAGGGCCCAGTTGTTCAAATGGTGGGTAACTGTGCTATGCACTGGATAGAGATTTATCCTTTGGATAGCGTTATCCACACTTAGAACAACCGGGGCCAGGACTATAATCCCACGTGTACCATTGTCAAACGGCCCATTTGCTGAATTATCCAAACCTCGACTTAAGATTCCCTTAGCCACCGTGCCGTCATGGCAGCCAGAACACGTGCATTGATTAGCCACGGGTTGGAGTTATGGCGAGCTGAACTCCCTTAAAAATCTCGTTCAGTTTAAAGTTTGTTTTTATCGCTCAAATGTTTCGTTTTGTTTTTGTTGTTGTTTTTGTAACAACATATTCAATGACTCAGTGTGAAGAGTTGGAAAACCAACATACAAACAAAACAAACTTAGGGGCCCCAATTAAAAATATTACTAACCTAGTCATGAACGTAGATCGTTGAAAAAATCTGATTTTCCCGCGGGGAATCGATTCTCAAACGGCAATCTAGGAACTCCGAGGAACAGATAATGTCCCGGATAAAAATTTGAGCATATGTTCACTCCGATTTATACGTGATTGTGGTCTTCATGTAATTGTAATATTCCACGCTCTGTTCATCGGGACTTTAGCCTCTGTTAGTTCAAGTTAAAAGGTTTTTGCAGTTATCTGAAGGTTTGTCTTGATTAATGCCCTGCAAAATCTTTAATCATTTTGGATTCTGCCACTCAAATTTTCCAATGTAAAAGACACTTTACATATTAAATGGGTGAATCCAACTCTAAACCAATGGTTTAAACACCTAGATTTATCCCTTTTGTTTTCGTTTAGCTTTACTAATGGTCTTGCCATATTTTTTCGTCTTATGTGAACTTTTACTGTAATGGCACAAGCCAACATGGAATCTATTTGTTTGATATGATAACAAAGCAAATTGTCGTTAATGGTGACGTCATGTATGCATCAATACCTCCAATAGATCATAAGCAAGAACCAATCAACCTGTATGTATGATTTAGCTTGTAAAATAAAAGATGTTGTTTCATCTGCTCACTTTGTTTTCTTCAGGTGCTGATCATTTTCACGGATGGTAAGCAGACACAGCTAAATGAAAGGCAACCCATAAATCCAAAAGATAACACACAGGTTCTCAAAGACAAGAATGTAACGGTTTTCTCTATTGGCGCTGGTACTCCTGATCCGATCGAACTGTATGAAATGTCCTCTGGATATCCCTTTGTTGGACGGTTGGACTTAAGAGATCCTGCAAAAGCCGTTCCTCCCATTATCAACCAGTTGTGCAAAGTTGAAGTTACGGTAAGTCTTGAATTGTGCTAAAGCACAGAGGCTAGGCACAGGTTGACGACTGTATGAGTTCAAGGTTAACTCGCGAGAAGGCCCTTATCATCAGCGCCACAGGACGCACTTTTTTTTTTTCATGCGGGAGAGTTTGAGACGGCAGACTGTTTTTTTTTTTCATAGCAGAACACTCGTCGATTCGATTTACTCAAGGATAATAATAATAATAATAGTCTTTATTAGTTCATAAGATAAAAACTACATATCTTATGTTGCAAAACTTCCCATTTAGAAGTAAGTTACATAGTACGTACTGATTAAAGAGCTTATTATTTTTAAATGTTTACAGAATACCAGTTATAAAGCTGGGTCACATTTAAAACTTAGGCGATTAAAATAGGAGTTCTTTACTCGATCCGTGTTTAGTTTTGGTCGGTGACTAGATTGGCGTCTTAGATTGAAGGACTTCAAGGCTGCGTGACGCCAGCCTCTTGGATTTGATATTTAATGCCATTAATCATCTCTTACATTTTGGTGTGATTTTCAAGGGTTGATCTCGACTTGATTCAAATAAATTGTCAAGATAATAAGCTGATTAATTGGTACTAAGGGATTTTTTAACCTACAGGTGTATGGACCAAAAGGTGCACCCGGAGGAACAGGAGAGAGGGTCAGCGGAAAATTCTTCGTTATCAATTATGCAAAATTTTCTCACTAATACATTAAACAATTTTATATCATACCATTATCCATCTATTCCCATACTTATGATTTCTTTTTCGTTCTTTCTATCTCGCTTTTTCTTCTTTCCTTCTCTGTCTGTCTGTCTGTCTGCCTGTTTGCCCGCCTTCTTATATGTCTGTTTGTCTGTTCGTCTGTTTGTCTGCTCGTCTCTTTGTCTGTTCGTCTGTTTGTCTGCTCGTCTATTCGTCACTTTGTCTGTCTGCTGTTTGTCTCTTTTTCTGC